ATTTTTGTAAATTTTAGATGGAAATTTTTGATCATTGACATGGGAGTATCAACGCGAAATGTATACACAATATATATTACATGCGTTGTTCTTGATACGTTCTGATCAACGTTACAAACGACGTAAGGACGAAACTATTATTCATTAGGTCTCGTGTAGTAGGAATCATTTTCAGTACGCTTCGACCTGTTGGCTTTTTAAACAATAAATCTGAAATATTAGATGATTTCAATCTGAAATTTTGCAATAATCGATAATTATTTACAATTAAATCAATCAAATCTTTTCCCCCTAACGTTGATTGGCATTTATTTTATTTTATTTTATTTTTTGTTTTAGTCAAATAATCGTATATTGACAAAGTAATAAATATGCATTTTACGGGCTTAATACTTTTTATAGTTACTAATATAAATGCAAATAACTTAAATATGCTTTGGCTATACAAATATTTGGCGTGCGTTTGTGAAAAAGGGAAATTAATGATTGCGGTTATTGCTTCATTGATGCAATTATGACTGATTTATTAAGTCTGTTGCTAACATTTTCCAAAAATACATCTATTTTTCTTTCTATTTCTTTAATATCAAAAAGCTGTTTGTTTGTTTGTTTGTTTTTTTTTTCAGCTAATAATAAATAATTCATATAACTAACTGTCTTACCTTAAAACCACATTTTGCTGTTGTGTACTGTAGCTTTGATCTTTTGTAAAACCAGATTTTTTTTTTATTTTGTTTTCTAAAGGTTACATTTTTTAATCTAAATCATTATTATACTGCATTGATTTTGCTGCACTCGTATTATAAAGAAGATTTCTCCTACAAGTCTTACGTGTTACATCTCGAGGGAATTAACAGAGAATTTGGTAAAAAAAACAATAATCATAACCGATATTAAGAAGAAAAACGTGACTTTTCACAACAAAAAAAAAAAAACAAAAGAAAAGAAAAAAAAAGAAAGAAAACAAAATGATTAAAAATTTGAAAAATTTAAAATTTAAAACAAAAAAAAAAAAAAAAAAAAAAAAATGAATAAAATTGAAATTAGAAGATAAAAGAGAAAAAAATAAATATGAAATTATAACATAATTATAATATAACAGGTAGATTAAAAAGTATTCAATTTAATGAATGAATCAAAAATATCTGCTGCTGTTACATACATAAGAGATCGGGAGACAATCGCATCAATACAAAATCATATTGCAATAATTGGTCAGCTAATGGGTAAATAGGAATATGTGCAACACATGTTCGCCATGCATAAGCGAACAGAAAACTTAAGAGATATTATCTCGCTAAAACATGTATACATTTATGCAAAGCAACCCTTAACTGCTGATTTAATTAGATAAGCCGACGTCGTCAATATGTCTACAAAATGAATCCTTAACAACACACACACACACACAAGAATACCATTTTTTAAACATTTCTTATGTACATGCAAGGTTTGCCTCTAACATACGAGTTGCGAATACGCAAAAGACTTAAGTAACAAACTTGTACGTTTATTTTGAAAATGTTGAGAAAACTCTTACTTTCAAGATCTTTTCAAAATCAAAAAACATTCTTTCGACGCTAGCATAGTACGGGAAAAGTACAAAAGAAAAAAAAGAAAAAAAAAAAGTCAAAAGTGTTCTAAGATGGAAAAATGGGCGGAAAATATGCATTCTTGTTATTATAAACGCCTTATAACCCAGCCTATGTGGTCATAATAGAAAGGCACTTCTATGAATTATCTGCAAACTCGACAATTCATCTTCTTGACAATTTTAATATTCACATTACGGCAATTGGGTCCATTTAAGATTTTTAAAAACAGTTTTAACTGGAGTGGCAAAGTGTAATTCAAAAGATCCACGCCCATTTGTCCTTAATTAGAGCAATGAATTCGATCTCAAATGTTTACGTTTCTTTGCATCAGCTCTGTCGATTCACAAATTCAATCGTAATTAGATGAAATCTAATCCTTAAGCGTTGCTTTTGTAATAATCGTTCGGTTGACTTTTTATTACGTAAATTTTTCGTACTTAAAAGTTTCTATACAACACCCCTTATATAAAGATTTGCTATTATATATGTTATGTTATGAGCATAGAACAAAATTTTACGCGTAGGTATTCAATTTTTTGTTTTCTTTTTCACTCCAATCAAGCACTTTACGATTGAGTAACTTTTCACGAGACCGAGGTAATGTTATTAAGACCGACAGCTTTAGTAAGAATAAAGAAGAATAAAAAAAAATTATTGTCATCTTAAATTAAAAATGAGTCATTTATACAAAACAAAAAAAAAAAATAAATATATTTATATATATCTATATATATAAATATACAGATTAAGAAAATATTTCTAAACAATAGATAGCAAAAATCGATCACTCGATCGATATAATCTCGTTAGTTAGTTCCCAATTTAAATATAATGTTAAAATCTTGAAAAGAAGAAAAATTTTATACATCAGAGTATTTATTGTATCCACCAGTAACGCATGCGAAGATACTAAAGCTTGTCGTTGTATGTGCCGGCTTAAGCAGCCTAAAAGGGCTAAAAGTCTATTAAACAATCTTAGATTATGAAGAAACTTAGCGATGTCCCTTCATTGCTCGCCTCAGTAATGCAAAAGTCGTTGGAGGAAACTGAAATTTATCACCTGCGTATCTTGTTGAAAACCAGGCGGCCAATGCAAATAGAAATTTGAAATCAATATAAAAAATATATTTTGAAATGTTTTTGCCAACAACCTATACTTATTAGGATCATATCCTAAGATAGGTTCACCATTTTCTTAGTCTATCTGTCTATCTGTCCGTGTTATGCGCTGGTATTCAGCCGACATGTCATCATTTTTGAGATATTTTAATGAAGTTTGGTACACCGATATGTTTTAGTGCAAGGACAAATGCTATTAAAAAAGATTTGGATTGGAGCACTTTTTTGACCGCTTTCCATATAACATCTTATTTTGAAAAGGATTTATATAAATATCTGTACCAAGTTAAGTAGAGTAGCGTATTTCAAGGTAGTAGGCCGTGATCCATTGTAACATTCCCTGCTTATCATATATTAAGAAGTGAATATATTTGCTTCGTCTCAGGGTAGTTTGCGGCTTTCACCTTTATTAAAAATGATTGCGATATCAATACACACATTTACAATAGTAATTAGTAAAAATCAATACGAAACATTTATGAAATCCATAAATCAATTAAATATCATGGATTTTGAATAATCAACATCTCAAATAATCTTCTCTTGGCAGTTATCTTACCGATATAGACAAATGGGAACATTTCTATTACATATTGCGATAAAAATAATTAGAAGGAAGATTATATAACAATAAAAATGCATAGATATATAAGATTTTCGGATTGTTTCGTGACTCTTTCAATTTCAAAAATATCCGAATACATGGCAACAGTGCGACTTCTGAACATCATAAGCAAGATTATTGTTAATTAGATTTTACGGAAATTTGGAAAAACTCTTACGCGTATTTTTATCTGGTACAAATGGAACGACAAAATTAATAAATACCATCATTCTACCTAGGCTTGGTGTATATTTATAAGTAAATAAAAAAAAAATAAATAAATAAATAAGTGAATAAAAAGCTCTTACTTACCTTATTATTAGTAATGTCGGCTTTACACTGGCTATAATATTTAAACTTTTTATTAAATTTAAAGACACACGCACATATTGACAAATAATAATTTATTTTTTAGCTTAAAAAATTGTTATAGAAAATCTATTTTCGTTAGACAGCAAACATGTTTGCGATAAAAATTGAAAATAAATGCCTCGTTTAGTTTTGAAAATATTGCAAACCGCTTTAAAATATGCTACAATTTACGGGCTTTGGTATTAAGTGAGTAAAAAAAAAAGTTTTAAGTGAAAAATGAGCTGATGGACAATGCGGTATTCATGAACTTGTTATGAACACTTTTTAAATGTCATTTAATTAGTTAGTTAATTAAGTTTCCCAAATCACAGAAGAGGATTTATAAGGGCAGAGTATTTTCAACTTATCCGGGCTCTCTCTTTAAGGTATCAAATGGGGAAAGGCTATTTAAATACAATCTGGTTATTTCAACGATAGCCGCGAGCCGCAATTACGAAACATAATTTCCGTGAAAAGAAAAAGATGTCCGTTATTTTCATATGCATTGGTAATAAATAAAGTTTACAAACGGCTCTTAGCCCGTTCAGATTATAAGATTCTTAATATAATACCAAAGACACTTTGATGAAAATATTTTTCACGTTTACCTTTAATGGAGACAGGAAGAGATCAAGAGAATACAATTCCTTTCATAATTGCTTTTTATAGATTAAAGTTGCATTAATTCCCAGACAAGCAAATTTTGGTCGGTAAATTGTTTTCATGGAAATTATAAAGGATTCTGTCAAGTAAGATAGTTAGTTGTCTTTAGGTGCAGATGAAGGATTATTTTTATTTTATTTTTTTGCCAAAGTTCAAAGTTTTTTTCAAATCAATAGTACAAAAGTATACCCCTAGTTGCAGAGCAGCTTCTTCTGCTCTTCCTAATGGTCGCAGAGTTAACGACCTTAAGAGTTTTTTTGAAAATCTTCTCAGAGCTTAGAAAGTATTTGTCAAGTCTATGCTCTAGATGAAAAAGTTTGTGAATCTCTGCTGCCAATACCCGATTGGAAGCTTATTTTTAAATTGAAACAATAGCCTGGAAGTATGTTATAAAAATTTGTTTTATTTTAGCTTAAATAAAAGATAATTGTAATGCAACTGTTTAACCTGCCGGCTACATTTATAAGCCAAATAAAGGAATTTATTTTATGTACAAGCAAAATTATAACAAACATAAACACAAAAGGTCTATCTTTTCTGATTTAAATTCTTTTTAAATGATAATTAAGGAAGAATTTGACAATCCTATAGCATTTTGTGGCATATTTTTGCTTAATATTTCAAACATGTTTGTCGCCTTAACGTAGGTGTACAAAAGAAGAACTTACCTTTAAAGCGCAAAATATACAATCTGGTCCACTGCAAACATGTTGATTTAAAGCACGAAATGAACGACGAAAAGCATCTAAATGCCACAAAACCTAAAAGTAAAAAAAAGCGAAACAAAATTTAGATATTATTCAGATTACACACTATACTTTCATACTGGATATATATATGGGATGAAATCTATTCTCTCGCCCATCATGGGGGCATGCATAATTGAAATTTCCTTGCTTACCTAAATATATTGAAAATACGCTTTAGAAGATATATTTTTCTTTGACTTAGTATTTTGATATTTTTTCGATATAACTATGGCGGTTATGTTCCCTTGTCTTTCATGTTTTTTTTTTTTTTTTTTTTTTTTTTTTTGAATTTCAAGAAACAGTGAGCGCCCAGTATGCCTAAAATCCATGGCATTGTAGTCATTGATTAGAAGTATGTGTAGAATGAAATTAAAACGTTACAAAAATTTTGTAAACTGAATATTGCTCCTATGCGCGTAAGTACAACTAAGTGGTGAATATAAAAAAAAAGGCTCAAACTCGTTTGGAACGGCCATTTTTTTATGTATGCTATGTAAACAACTATGGTAAAGATTTTCTAGAGAAACTTTTGGAAAAAAAAAAAATAAATAAATAAATAAATAAGTAAAACTTCATCATCATGTTTGTCTCTCCGTCTATACATGTACGGTGTGTTGTATTTTTAACTTTGGTGGGCTAAGTTTTTTTTTTTTTTTCTTCTTCTTACTTAGCAGAAACAGAAAAGTAAGTAAGTAAACTGGTTTTGATAGTAAACAACAGTTGTATGCTTTAGATGTTGCTTTCAAAGCGACAGCAACATTTTGTAGCTTAACTCTGCAAAGAGTTCGTTGTTTTCAAAGGTTCGAAATGGTTGCTTCTAAAGCAGCTTTCAGTTGATTGTTGTTGATGTTTTCTTATCTTTATTTAACATAAGTGTAGTTTTTGCTTTATTCTCTTTTCTTTGATTTTCTTTTGTTTTGCCTGTTAGTTTTATTTATGTATATCTTGCATATTATACACAAGCAATGGAAGGTTTTTAAAGATAAAACTATTCATAGGTGTGTGTATCTTAGCGTATATACCATGTTTTGTCTTTATCTTTCTTAATGTCCGTTCGCTAAGTAGCTTTTTTTACGTTTAGCTCGTTTCTTTTGATTTCGTTTACATTTCATACCGTTTCAGGTCAGTCTCTTGGTTTATTTAGTTTTTTTGTTTTTTTTGTTTTTTTTTGTTTTAGAATTTATTGGTTTTTTCATTAAATTCTTGTTAGGATTTTTCGATTGTTTGAAATCAAAATCAGAAAAGCAAAAAAAAACTATACTTACAGAGCATAAAAAAAACGTAATTGTCTGGTTAACAGACGCATGACTTCGGACTTGTTTATTTTATTATATTATTTAATTGAAATAAGGCACAGCTGCTTTAATCGGGATTTTTGAAAACATATTTCGCTTTTTTTTTTGCTTATATATATATATATATATATGCATATACATATATATGTATGTATGTATATATCGTAAATAATTTTTTTAGAAACATAAGTATTAGGAAGATTATATCAACTGAAACAACATATACATACGTATGTGTATGTTTACCTGTAAAGGTTTATTTTGCGCGCCATATTAAAATCTGAAAAAAGGCTTCTAACGCTTTCTTTCAAATCTTAACGAGGCACTTAAAACCAGTTTTCTTATGTTGTTGTGTATCAATTTTCTATTTTTCATTTATATTTACAAGCCATGTAGTAAAAAAGAAAATTCTCTATAGTAAAATAGTAAAGTACAAAAAAAATTAAAAAAAAAAGAAACAAAAATCCAAGAAAAGACTTAAGACACAAACTGAAAAACTGTGAGACGAAAGAAGTTTCGGAAAATTTCATTTTTTTTTCCAGATATTAAGATCAATTAACTTTTTGAATGTAGTAATGGAATAATGACGACGCCACTTATATGCGATATATTGATATGAATTAGTTTAGTGTTATTACAAATACGTTATGCATTTAAAGTTGAGAATATAGTTAAGTTATAGAAATTTTCCTCAAGCCATCAAGGGATTTCTCAATAGCACCCATCGGGGTAAAGAGAATACATTACTTACTATTTTTGCCCGAAAATATGGCTTACATTTCAGAAATTTAGTAATACAATATATTTTATAATTGCATTGACGATACTGAAATCATACGTTTCAAGTATTTAGACCCTTCAAGTTGAACAAATTTCGGATTATCTTAAATCTGTTTTGTCTTTGATTTTTAAAGGGGAAATTGAGACGAAAGGAATATTAGATCAACGATATATAGACGGATATATGGAGAGACAAAAGAACATAGCGGAAGGAGAGACTAAATGATGCAATGTTTAAAAAACGATTGCCTGATATTGTAACGAGTTACAAAAATGCATCGACAAAAGTACGTGAACGTACGAAAGAAAAAGGAGGTGATGGCCAAACAAAATTATGGATCGCCAGAAGATTCAAATTATGTAAGGGCGGGCAGGCGGATAGTTATAGGCAAATGATTAGTTGAAAAAACGGAAGAGAACGATGGCCAAATCTAGTAAAAAGTATAAAGTTGAAAGAATAAATAAATAAAAGGGAGAAAGAATAGATCGAATACGTTAACGATTTGAATGGTGAGTACGCGGAAGTATAATTCAAGGCCACACAAACAAAAATAGGTAAAAGGTTGAGGAGAAAATTCGATGGGAAGTCGAAATGATTGACTTCAAAATGAAAAGTCTTACCGTCATTCGAAAACATATACATACATATAATAAGTTTTATCTTCATCTGAACATGCATACGTATATATAGAGAAACTAAAACTTTATAAAAAAAAAAAAAAAAAAATTAGAAAGTAAAACAAATATTAACAAAGGGATCGAGGGATCCCAGATGCACTACTGAGTTCTACGTTGATTAAAGGTACTATTTACATCTAGCGTTAATTTAATTACATTAGAATAAAAGGATTAACATAATAAAGTTAAAGTTAAGTTTTCCGTTCTGCACTTTTATCATATGGTTTTTCTTAACCTCAATCTTATTAGAAAATTTGTATGTACCTAAGCGTTTCGAATAACACATACTAAAACTGGACTTTGTGTTACCAAAATAACAAAAACAAAAAAAAGAAAAGAAAAGGAAAACTGGATTAGTTACAAAACCAAAATATATATATATATATATATATATATATATATAAATAAAACCATAAATAAAACCATACATTTATACACAACGCAAACCGAACATTGTTAGACAATTAGAAATGGTTTGTAACGGACAAACGAATGTATATCAAAAACCAAAAAAAAAAAAAAAATAATAATAAATTGTATATATATGTGAGTACGTTAAAGAGTAGGAAAAAGGTAATCTAATATCATATTTCTATAAATAAGGAAAGATAAAAGGAAATATAAAACCAAAGCTTAGTCAAAGTTAAATTAATGTTTTAGATAATATTTCAAGTGCTCTACGAGTAAAAGTTCGTCGATATGAAAACATATATAATTGGAACAGACGCCCACACCGAACCCAAAGTCGAAATATAAATTTTGCTTCGCGTTTAATTAAATATGAAATGGGATGAAATGAAAACCAAATTAAATAATTTCCCTTTTTTTTTTTATAAAAAAAAGTACATATCAAATTAAGGCGTGCCTTGGTACGGGAAATTTCTAATAAATGTTTTAGATAAGCTTGATAATGATGCGGTGGCCTAAAGCTTAAAGACTGAAGCTGAAACAACTTATTTCCAGAAACAAGAGGTTGAGCATTTCGCACAAAATCGTACGCCATTAACGCTCACAAATGCATTTCTTTTCGTGAAGGCCACTATTCAATTCTCTTCGTATCGAGGAAATCCTTTGGTCTCTAGACCTTCATAACACGTCACGAACTTTTGTTAATCTTTTTAGATGCGAGTTATCCTTCTTATTTTTTATATATCATTTTTGTCCATCTTTCTTGTAAGACCCAAATTATTTAAGAAATCAATAGATGTATCCATGAGATTCAGAGGCAATCACATATCACTCAATAAGTTCGTAGGCTGACATGTAGAAATTTTGACACAATTCGCTGAAAATTTGATATAATTTAAAAATCAACACTTATTCTGGGCTTGTGTGTACGTCACCCTACGTCACCGTATTGAGTGATATATTATTTTTGAAATCTTCAAGATCGGAGTATGAAAATGAAGTCATTAAACCTTAGCTCATAACATCTTAACTTAGTTCTTATTCTTTTCGTGCCCGTCACTGAGGGGAGGAGCGGGGGCACACTTATTTTGGTTTTTTTCATAATGTCTGTAGCAGCCAAAAGAAAGGTTCAGAGACCCTATAAAGCACATATATAATATATTCTTGATCAGCATAAAATTCGGAATTGATTTAATTATGTCTGTCCGTCTATATGGTGCTTATTGTTCGCACTCTCCTAGTCGCAAAAATGAAGATATCGACATAAAATTTGGTAGAGACATTGGCAGTTCTTGCACGCAGGTCAATATTGAGAATGGGTCAAACTAGTCAGAGCACAAGCCCCGAGGTGAACGTAAGCTGAACCCAGCTCTGTTTTTCTTACCACAAACTTGTGAACTTTTTCTCGTTGCTTAGATATTAGAAAAGTTTTAGTTTTCTGATAAGACAGCTTAGAAGAAGACTTAAGGCTTAAATGTGATTCACTTATTTTCAAGCTCTGATATTCAAAACCTTCCCCACCTCCTGAGAAATGTATTATATTTCGGAAAAACACTAATAAAATTCTATCGAAACAGTCACAAGTTAAGCGAGTATTTGAAAATTCCTTTCCAGCTATCATCGAATCATGTGAAAAGAGAGATGACTTTAAAATGAATATCAAGTCTTGTGCGTCACAAGAATTGTCTGAACAAGGTTAATTCGGATCGGACTTTTATTTGTGAATCTTTTTTAACCAACCTGTAGTAAGCATTGCTAATTTAATTGATTTATAAGAAATGCCAAGAAAATGGAAAATTTGCGACAACAGTTTGCGATATAGACAATGATCGGAAGAAGGAAAGGAAGGAC